TGCAACTGAAATAGTGGTATTTTGGTAAAAATATATTTAAACTTTCAGTTATATATTAATATATCAACTTAAATTAATTTGATTTATGACATGCGATATCCTTAAATCTAAATAACTTTGAAACCATAGTAAGAATTTAAATAACGAAATTTAACAAGTTTGAACGGGTCAAGTGTAATTGAGTAACTGTGGTGAACATCTATACATATCGACCTGCTGACCTGTCGACCTGCTGACCTGTCTACCTGTCGACCTGTTGTCCTGTTTCCCCATATTTATCGTTAATTCAAAATTTAATGAATATGTATATTATGCAAATGTTATGAATAAATATGTAACTACAATAAATATTCATTACTTTAAAAGGGTAGATACGAGGACTATTTACTCATTTTGTTAAAACTGAAAATCCGCAGGAACTACAATACCGTATACTGCACTTGACCCAAATTAAGTCTGCCAAAAACGGGGAGCAATTGGCACCCGTGTACCTTCCGACAAACTTTTGAAAGGCATGATCTTCAAAAACTAGAGAGATATTGTCAATCAAAAATGTAAGCATTGAGAATGTTTTTAGCAAAATAATTTTGCAAATGACCAATGATAAGGTTAGTACGTTTACGAGTTCCATTTATATTGAAAAAGCAGCTGTCCATGATGTCAAAAAACCTGGATTTAATTTATCAAGAAGAATGGTTATATAAAATGTTGAAAAGCCTACGTTTTGATATCATTAATTTTGGTAAAATTTTGTGATTTCAAATTTTCTAGGAGTTCTTTGGAGTTTTTAAGTATCCGCATCTGATTAAGACCACTTCTAAAATAAATTGTTTTCAGTACTCCTGAAGTTTCTCTTCCACTGCTGTTTATATTTTACTGAGGAGTAAAGAAAGAAGCTTGGCGGAACATTTACAGGAACATATCTCTGTTTGTAAGAATATGAGTCAGACAAACTCCCACAAGTATTTTCTTTTCTTTTTTTTTTGTGAGGGAATGAAAAATTGTTGTCCGAAAAATTAAATTCGAAAGAATATAACTAATAATGGTGTAGCATGTATTAAATTAACATTTGGAGACTTAAAGATGAAATATATGAAGATAACGAACAGTATTCAGGCTCAAAAGTCCATCAAACAATACAAAATAGGAGCAGAGCAAACACGGACCTCCAAACATCAGAGGTAGGAACAGGTGCCATGGAGGAGTGAGCATCCCCTGCCGACCGGTCACACCCGTCGTGTGCTCCTTGTCATGATCTGGAAATAACGGAAAAATCCGTCGACAATTCAGTGTGTAAATAATGGCTTAACAATTTGTATGAAAAACGTCAGTCAGCATTTGACTCAATGATAAATTGTATTTGCTGACAAGGTCATTGTATCGACCATAGTACTTACAAAATGATGACTTTAAACGAGACAGCTGATATTCTTGTTTCATCAACTTGTTTGTCAATAATTTACCTCTTTTTAGAAAGTGTACATACGTAGAGCATGCTCTTGCGTATCGAATCAACTGAGAGATATAAACCCCGTATGCAGGTGATGAAGGAATATTGCTGCATAAGTAAGGGAAGATAAATACGAAAGCCGGATAGGCTCATTTTTGACAAGATAAAAAAATAATTAACTCGTTATAACGAGATAGTTATCTCGTTATAACGAGTTAGTATCTCGTTATAACGAGTTAGTTATCTCGTTATAACGAGTTAGTTATCTCGTTATAACGAGTTAGTATCTCGTTATAACGAGATAATTATCGCGTTATAACGAGTTAGTATCTCGTTATAACGAGTTAGTTATCTCGTTATAACGAGTTAGTTATCTCGTTATAACGAGATAATTATCTCGTTATAACGAGTTAGTATCTCGTTATAACGAGTTAGTTATCTCGTTATAACGAGTTAGTTGTCTCGTTATAACGAGATAATTATCTCGTTATATCGAGATAATTATCTCGTTATAACGAGATAATTATCTCGTTATAACGAGTTAGTTATGTCGTTATAACGAGATAATTATCTCGTTATAACGAGTTAGTTATGTCGTTATAACGAGACAGTTTTTTTGTTATTTCGAGACTTAATAGCAATATAGGAATAAAAATGGCTGCAGTTTTAAATGCCGTTGAATTTTTAGCAAGTAATTATCAGTCAAATTTAACTTGAACAATTGATAAATGGTTGAAAATTTAATTTGCTCTTGGGTTTACTTATAATTAAATCTTGAACTATCTCGCTGTCAATAATCATAGCAACTCTAAGGCGAACACATTTACACATTTTCGTGAACTCCTCCTCAAATTGTTGCATTAGGACGCAATATTTTTCTTAAAATAATATTGCCAAACATACTTGCTTCAAACTTTGACAATTTATTTATGACAACTATTTCTGATGAATGACACTATTTCGATATGTTTTGGACGACTTACTGGTATACACTTTCATATATCAATTTCTATACCGCTAAAATTAAATATCAGATCGAGACAATATAAGTGCAACATATCGTTTATGCAACATATAATATATAGATTACAGTGTTAAACATATGTTACTTCTGAGATTCAGAAATGTTTTGAAGAAGGGGGATGGTGAGACATCAGCAGTTAGATCATAGGCGTAGTAATAGAGGGGCTAATATCCACACCACCACTTTTGAAAAGGGGGCGGTCAAGAGTATCTTTGTGCCCCTTCCTCCATATTTTTTTACCTGAGTATATATCTCCCGAAAATAATGGCGAATACTCGTAGTTGGAATATCAAATCTATCTTTTTTTCTTTTTACTTGTCAAATATTTTACTTGGTTTACCCCCCCCCCCCTTTGAACTTCGTGACTTATGCATATTGTCCACGATAATGAGGAATGGTGAAGCAAAAATGATATTACATCCTTTTAAAGTAATAAGACGTTAAATCTGATCTGCTGATATTGACATTTTATCTAAAATTCTGTCATGATTCACTGTTTATATTTTTTGCAGGGGGGGGGGGGGAGGAGGAGGGACCAAGTTGTGGAGATTCACGGAGACCTATTGGAGATTCACGTCTATTTGGCGGATCCTATATGTTTACCACATAGTGTCAGAACGTCAAACCAGAGTTTACAAAACAAAAAAAATTTACAGAGTTTACAAAGCCAGTTTACTTTTATAATCTTTTTACTTAGGATTGATCAACGAATAGGCCTAATGCTACATATGTACATCTATATTATTAATACAACATTGAAGCAATGACGTTAATTATTTTCCTCATCACAATATTTATTATGTATACTTTACAAGCATATAATTTTTATTTCAAAAAGAGATTGATGATTTTTTGTTTGGGGGGGGGGGGGTAATAAATAGAGGATATTCAATGTTTTGTAGTTGATATGGAATTTATTTCACGAGTGGGACAGGAATTTTTTTTTATATTTTCATGAGTGCGAAGCACGAGTGAAAATATCAAAAATCCTGTCTCAACATACAATACACATTTCTTGGCAAAATTTATGCTTGAAATACACCTTAAGTAATGCTTATCATATTGTAAACTTTAGATATTAAATAAAGAGCTCCAAAAGTTTTTTTTAATTCTACCACATTGATAATAACGCAAAAATTACATATTGAAATTTAAGATTCCATGCCAAATTGGTAAATTAAAATGTTTCTTTCTTTTAATAAACAGAAGAAATATATAAATTATTAAGTGATAAGTACAGTATTAGTTCTTGATATTCATCATATTTATTATTGAGGGGAAAGAGGGATTGATGATAAAAACAACGTGAATTTAGTTTTTCGTCAGACATTGAATTTTGATCTTGCCCCTTTAAGACGATAAAATTGAACTGGTATTCCTTGTTAACAGGCAAGGAATTATCAAAATATGATCGTTAAAGCCTAACAAATGGTTTCATATCCACATGATTTATTCGGAATATTCAAAATAATGGGATTATTTCTATGCATTTTTTATTGCGACAAATATTACGCAAACATTATTATAATTTTAGCAAATTCAAGAAAGCTTGAACAGGGCAGTTAAATCAGCCAGAGTATAACATTTTTTTCTGATCTCCTTGTACAAGTTGACAAAATTTTGATGTTATATACATTCCATTTGAAGATGACACTAATTCCATTTTGCAATTTTAAGGTACAACACAACAACATGAGGCGGTCACAAGTTTCCGTATATTTGTCTTTGGTCTTTCCAATAAACAATACTAATCAAAGGCATAACACAAAAAAACTAGTATGCTGTTCCATAGAATCTTTATCACGCACACTTCAAACAAATTTGATCGACTTGCTTCTGTATATTTCCTATAAATAATGGTCTATTCTTTACTTAAATATATCAATTCTAGATCAATTTTTATCTCGTTATAACGAGATAATTATCTCGTTATAACGAGATAACTAACTCGGTATAACGAGATACTAACTCGTTATAACGAGATACTAACTCGTTATAACGAGATAACTAACTCGTTATAACGAGATACTAACTCGTTAAAACGAGATAACTAACTCGTTATAACGAGATAATTATCTCGTTATAACGAGATAACTAACTCTTTATAACGAGATATTAACTTGTTATAACGAGATACTAACTCGTTATAACGAGATACTAACTCGTTATTACGAGATAATTATCTCGTTATAACGAGTTAAATATTTTTTTTGTCTTGTCAAAAATGAGCCTATCCGGCTTTCGTAGATAAAAGTTGAAATACTTAAACAAATTCTTAATATAATCTGAGGATCAGATAATTATCTATTTGAACTTGTTTTACCGAAAATCAATAAATTTTAATTGCATTACGAGTAACAGACCTAAATTAGAAAAAAAATAAAAAGTTCGATAAGTTAAAGACAGCTGATTAAAAAACTCATAAGCGTGACTTGACATTTGAGGCATAAACTCTGTAAAAATAACGGCATATTTTTCATTGAGATATTTAAAATTGCAATCGAAAAGTAAACATATATGTATGACAGTTCATATCATATTCAACAAAATCGATGCTAAAACAATTCTAAATACATAGTACGTAATAATAAGCCAATCACTTTTCAGTAACTGATATAGGTTTTGATATTTATATTTGGTGACTGAAAGACCAACATTGCAAATTTTTACAGGTAGGCAGCAGGTAGCTTTAAATACAAATTACGACATGGGCTCTCTTTGGGCTATCTATTTAATTTTTGTCTTCTTTGCGGTGTCTCATTCTACCATCATTTCGCGGAAATACATCACGAAACTGGAATTTGATGATAAAAAATCAAGTGATGAACTCTTGAAAGAATACAATTCTACATCGTCGATTGAGTGTGCAACACTCTGTCAAAGGGAATGTAGTTTCTATGGATTTAATTCTCAGATGAAGAAATGTCGTACCCACAAGAAGATTTTCACATCTGAGATGTCTAATGAGGCCGGTTGGAGATACTATTCCCATGACTGTATGTATAACTGTTATTTTTCTTCGTTTGCCACAAATCACATAAACATCATTAGTTTTTATCGCACTACTTTTAGAAAGAAGAGGTTTATCAATATTTACTATGCACGATATTATTTCTTCCTGAGACAATACTCTTTCATGTGGAATAATCAATTATATTTTCAACATAATTAATTCTAAGTAATAGTCCTATCTGTTTACTTATTTTTTCTAATTACTTTTTACTTATTTTTTTTTCTAATAAATTTTATTTCGAATAACTGATTAATTTGAAATTGATGGAATTATATTTTGTTATTCCAATATATTTTTTTTTCTATTTTTGCTTTCTTTTAGCATTATCTTTTATTAAAAGTTTCGACTTCTACTGTGAAGGAAATACTAACGAAAAAAAGATCAAAGTTTACATCTTGACAATACATTAATGAAATTCATTTTTGGGATAATAACACTGTATCATTCTTAACCATAAGGCTTCTGCAGATTGTTTTGACTAAAAAATAAAAACATAGATGCAGTTCAAACTAGTATCTCGAAATTGCTATCTTGCAATAACTGCTCTGAAAGCTGAGATGGGAACCCTGCGCTATGGACCACTAAGCACTCTGTCGCTCAGTATATTTAAAAGAAATATTAGATTAAAGATTTGAAGCATTTGTTAAACCAAAATGGTTTTAGGTAATGAGGAACAGTTTAACAAAATCTATATTGTAGTTCACAACTTAACTTCAGCAATTAACATTAATTTATCTTTCAGGTATAATGTATCCTCTTACTGTCTGTATATATACATAACATGATTACAGATTTTTTTTCTGCTCTAGTTCCCGCTTCAGTTACTCCCATTGACTGTAAGGATCTTCATGCAGATGGTCACACTAAATCAGGAGTGTACAACATTTATCCCTATGGCACCATTACCAGTCCTGTCAGAGTTTACTGCGACATGGAGACAATGGACGGAGGATGGACGGTATGTTATATTATTTCAAAGTTAGGGTGCATTATATAATTCGCACTCTGTGTTTTTGTTGTTCAAAAGAATATAGGATGAAAAAAAAATGAACGCTTTTAGTTTATATCATCAGATATTGATCATACAATTGTTTGAAGCAATGATTTGTATTGTTATACTTGCTAACTTTTAAAGGCAATCCAAAAACGTGTCAATGGATCCCTGAGCTTTGACAGGAACTGGACGGAATATAAGAATGGCTTCGGTTCACCAGAACAGGATATCTGGGTTGGTAAGTGTAAATCACTTTCAAGTAAAGACTTTCACCCGCTTCAGAATTTGACAAAATTTCTTTATTGTGGCAGATAAGAAGATGGAAGCGCATCAAAGATACGATTTTAAGACTGGGTAATATGTTTTCGACAATATTGACTTATCGTGTGTAGTTGGTATCTTAAATAATAAGAAAATAATGAAAGCAAGAGGTAAAAACCACTAAGTGGCATGGTCTTAAAGAGACGACAATTACCACGACCGTCTAAAGCTAAGAAAAATAATTTGATTTTTCATTAAGGTATATTTATATTCAAAAAGAATTAATTGTATGCAATAAACTTTTATGTTGATTTGAAATATATCTTTATGCAGGAAATGATTTAATCCATCAGTTAACAAAAGAAAACAACTCATTCCTTTATGTGTCCATCACTCTCCAGAATAGTACAACGCTGTATGAAATGTACGATCGATTCTTGATCTTCAATGAAGCAGAGAATTACAAACTCATTCTTGCAGGACCCGCCACGGGAACCTTAGGTAAGTGTGTTTAAGCTAAGTTCTTAAAACTAGGTTCAAATGAAGTGCACCATCATATACTTCTCTGCATAGAAAGTTTATTAAGTTGTTGAAAAAAAGACAAAGATACAATGTTCTCTTACATTCTGTAAACATCTTTGATTCCGTGTTTACTAAACGTCTTTTTATATTTCACAATATTATTTGTAGGTTTAATTCATGAATTCAGCGGACATAGTCATTGTTAAATAACTTTAATTTATATATCTTAAAAACAAAGAAAATTATGCTAAATTATTTATAACTAGTATATCCAGTCACTACCTTTGATCCGCCATTGTTTTTCAGCAAAGGTTTCTTGATGATTTTCAATAATTCATATTTTTATCTACAACGGAATAAAAATTTTACATTGCGTATTTGATATGTTATATCGACACGTTCACGAAAGCTTGATGTTCAAAGAAAATTATTTGATCGGGAACGTAGTCAAGTTAAGGACAGCCAAATTCAAAACATCTCAGCCAATACCTATTCTATATTAAATAAAAATTCTTATATTTTAAAACATTTACAGGTACATCATTTCTTACCTTGTTATCATTTTGAATGATTTGCTTCATATTGCATTTTATACATTTTAAAGTCACGGTCTCTAACAGATATCCATTTTTAATATATTCATTTTTTTAATATTTCCAATGACCTTTACCAACGCGGGTATGTTAAGGCTACCCATGTATATCCTACTTGCCTATACAGTATGACGTCACAGTAAGCTGTATGACGTGAACTCTAGAAATAATGATTTCTTTATATCTATATTTAAAGTTTAATTTAAGGTCCAAGAAATGAATGGAATCATTCAAAACATAATATAAACTAAATCTTGTCGTTTTTTTTGGGTGGTATGAATAGCTAATTAGCCCCTCCACGGTAACTGCGCTACTACTCTTTTGCAGAGCAAATTAATAACGTTTGGCGAAGTTTTTTTTTTTTTTTTTTGGAGAGATAATTTAATGACGTATATTAAACAATTACTTTTACGTCATATTCCACCAAACTATATCATTTTGCCCTGCAAAAGAGCAGTGCCGCAGTTACCGTGAAACGGTCTATTATTTAGCACGGGGGTTAAATACCAAACCCATGACGTCATAACTATTGATCAAATATTTGCCGAGAGAAATAAAACGTACGAGAATTCATGTAAACAAAATGGGAGTTTTAAAGCATATACCGTGAATGTTATGTGTGATTCATAAGGAATTAAAGATGAAGAATTAGGTACGCTGATATATTCTTATCATGTTTTTTTATAATGAACACAGGCAGTGCTTTGAAATCCCGATCACCCTTTCCTCTGTCGCTCTATGTCAACAAAGATGCAAAAGTTCAACACTACGCCGCATACTTTGAAACATAATTTTTGTTTGTATCGAAAGCTTGTATTCTATAGTATTTGGAATGTGCTGCTAGAATCGTGTGGTTAACATGAATTGATAACAATTCCTTGATCGTATGTATAAAATATAAAAAATTCGGTAAGGTTTCATGCGAAACTATTGAATATTTTTTTCTGTGTTGGGAGAGTAGGATTCTAGCAGCACTTTTCATAGCCCAGTGATGTTTTTACATAATTATTTTCACCAAAAGAAATGAATTATCTCTAGGGTAGTGTTGAACTTTTCACTTTTTCATAAAGGCAATTTTTCTATTTATAGACGTCACGTGATGACGTCGTAGTGGAGTGCTTGTTTTAGCCTAAGACTCAATGAGGTCTATACAATGGATAATAATAGTAAATGTTTTATCTATGGCTTTTCCGATTTATCAATGTTATATTTTACGAAGAAGTCTAAATTCGCCGAAATATGATCTAGGTACTGCCTTAACATACCTGCGAAAAAATTATTTTGTTATTTTAATCATACTTTAAAAGTGTAACATGTCTGGGATTTATTGTTCCATTAGAAAGGATGTTATATGAATTGCACAGCGTTTTGTATTGTATTGTGCATAAATATTATCGCTAATTACAGAAGTCAGCACGAAAAGCCGTCTATCTTTGATGTACTTCAGTATTATTGACAATAAGATTAATGTGATATATTTACATCCCACATGTATTTTGCTTATAAAGTGTGAGGGAAAGCTACGGCATTCAAAACACCATAACACGGACAGGGCGGTTTAAGGAGGTTCGATCCTGAGCTTTTGAGCAGATTTTGGTCTGGACCTTTATTTATAAAATTCTGCATCATTTTTAAGTTCAAACATTAAATCTAGATTCATTCAAATAGGATTAAGCCAGGAACTATATTTTGTGGCGGAAGGTTTTTTTTAGGAGAAAATGATCAATATTTCCCTTTTGAAATATATACAGTACTGTTAAGTTTAGATTCCTATTTTTCCATGCTGGTTGCACACAGAGCTGTTTTTTTTTTTTTTTTGCAGTGAAATGTTTTGTGCTGGTTCTGAAATATCTGTTAAATTATTTCTTATGAATTCTTTCATTATATTGTGACAAATATATTTAATATATTCTGAAAGTCCAGGAAAAAATTTAGCCAATTTTAACATAAAATTAACACTTTTTTAGTAATACCTGTAAATTTACATCATAGACTCCCACTTTTGTTTTTCTTTTCTGAATATATAAGATAACTTTAGTCAATCTGCCTAAATTCAGCAAAAGTTTAAGACTTTAAAATAATTTTCTTGCTTGTTAAATTTTTAATGCCAGAGAAATCACACATTTTGAGTGCAGAAAGGTCAAATAATTGATTATGCGAAGCAATTTGAAATTTTTTCTTAGTCACAATTTTAAAGTGTCTTTTTTTAAGTAGACTAATAGTTTATTTTGTCCCATGATTTATTTGGATAAAAACATTAAAGGGAAAACGTCGAAGATGTGATTTTTGATTAAGACACACATTTCAGTGCAAAAAGGTCATATTAAATGTACTGTGGCGCCAAAAGAAGCATATTGACCCCCATTTTTTGTTTTGATTTTTAATTAAGCTTTGTGTGAAGAAACTAAAAATATACTTGACAAAAAAAAGTTTAAGACTTTAAATATCAGGATCCAACTTCGTTAAAGCTTAAAGTATGCGATTTATTTTGACGTCACAAACGTTAAAAGCCCGTGAAAGTGTTACTTCATAAGTGAAAATAAAAATTCACGCTAACATTGAACAGAACTGTTGCAATGTCTCTTCCATTAATTGTAATTTACCCTAAGGATAATACAGGGATTTTGAAACTGAAATCAAATTTGCAGTCAAGCCAAGGGATTAAAAATGTAAATGTAAACGCTAACGCGCGTTACTCAATTTGTTTGCACACACCGTTGCAGTTATGAGACTAAATCTTACATAAAATAATGATTCAATGCTTAAATCAATCAATCAATGATCTCTGTGATGTAGTTTCTGTAATTCTACATAAAAGATGATTCAATACTTAAATCAATCAATCAATTATCTCTGTGATGTATTTTCTGAAATTCTACATAAAATAATGGTTCAATACTTAAATCAATCAATCAATTATCTCTGTGATGTATTTTCTTAAATTCTACATAAAATAATGATTCAATGCTTAAATCAATCAATCAATGATCTCTGTGATGTATTTTCTCTACAGGTGACAACAAGTCGTGATCAGTATTATAGATTAATTCTATAGGTGACTGTATGAGAAGCCGTGATTTCTCTTAGATGTACCTCAGTATTATTGATTAATTCTACAGGTGACTGTATGAGAAGCCGTGATTTGTCTTAGATGTACCTCAGTATTATTGATTAATTCTACAGGTTACAGTATGAGATCCGTGATTTGTCTTAGATGTACCTCAGTATTATTGATTAATTCTACAGGTGACAGTATGAGATCCGTGATTTGTCTTAGATGTACCTCGGTATTATTGATTAATTCTACAGGTTACAGTATGAGAAGCCGTGATTTGTCTTAGATGTACCTCAGTATTATTGATTAATTCTACAGGTTACAGTATGAGAAGCCGTGATTTGTCTTAGATGTACCTCAGTATTATTGATTAATTCTATAGGTGACAGTATGAGAAGCCGTAATTTGTCTTAGATGTACCTCAGTATTATTGATTAATTCTACAGGTGACAGTATGTTAGATACTGGTAACCCTAACAAAGATCTGTCAGGGATGTACTTTACAACCCAAGACAGGGATAACGACAGAAATACAAGTAACTGTGCTAAAACTCAGGGAGGAGGCTGGTGGTTTAAGAGATGTCACCACGCCTTTCTCAACGGTCCCTGGTACCCGGTATACTGGCACAGACCTTGGCATCCTACATTAAGGAATGGGACATCTGTGAGGGGGACGATGATGTTGATCAAACGTCACTAGGTAAACAACATTAAATCTTAATAACCAATATTTACTTTTTGGTAATTCCTTGAACATTTTAAACGGTTAATAGAAAACTGGGAAGAGTTATAAAAAGTTCCATTTTATTTCTCTGAAACATTATTTCATTCTTTTAATTCTTTTTATGCCCCTGGATCGAAAGATCCCGGGGGAATATTGTTTTTGTACTGTCTGTCTGTTTGTCTGTTTATCTGTTTGTCTGTTTGTCTGTTTATCTGTTTGTCTGTTTGTCTGTCTGTTTGTTGTCAACTTTAACCTTACACATAACTTTTGATTGGTTGGAGCTACGACTTTCATATTTCACATGTGTATTCCTTGTGAAAGGACCTTTCTTTGGGTATCATTATATTTGACCTTTTGACCTTGACCTTGGAGTTTGGCCCACTTTTGCAAAATTTTATGAGACTTTAACCTTGGCTATAACTTCTGAACAGTTGGTGCTTGGGGTCTCAAACTTCACATGTGTATTCTTTGTGACAAGACCTTCCTTAGAAAACCAACAGCTTTGACCTTTTGATCTTGACCTTGGAGTTTTGACTTACTTTTGAAAAACTTTAACCTTGGCTATAACTTTTGAACATTTGGCGCTTGGGGTTTCAAATTTCACATATGTATTCCTTGTGACTAGTCCTCCCTCCGGATACCAACCAATTTGACCCTTTGACCTTGACCTAGGAGTTTGACCTACTTTTGAAAAACTTTAACATTGACCATAACTTTTGAATGGTTGGTGCTAGGGCTTTCATACTTCACATACGTAATCCTTGTGACAAGACCATCCTTTGGATAACAACCAGTTTGACCCTTTGACCTTGACATAGGAGTTTGACCTACTTCCAAAAAATTTTAACCGTGGCCATTACTTTTGAATGGTTGGTGCTGGGCTTTCATATTTCACATATGTAATCCGCGTGACAAGACCTTCCTTTGGATACCAACAACTTTGACCTTGACTTTGACGTTTTACTTACTTTTAAAAAACTTTAACCTTGTCCATAACTTTTGAACAAATGCAGCTAGGGCTTTCAAATTTCACAGGTATATACCTCGAGACAAGACCTTTCTTTGGGTACCAACTTTTTTTTATCTTTTTGCCTGGATTTTGACTTGCATTTGAGAAACATTAACCTTCGCCATAAGCTGCCATACAGGGGCATCAGTGTTTCACAAACACATCTTGTTTTTTTTTATTTTCAACAGATCAATATCTAATGAAGTAGAAATCACAGATTGAAGAAAACGGATCAATCAGATGAAACATTTCAAAAGAGACAATTTCAAATTCATCTTGATCATGGGGTTCTATTTATTCTTTTTTGAAATAATGTTTTACATCAAGATCAAGTATAAACATTATATTTTTGAGGTGGTTTTGTGGTTGAAGTTGAAGTATTTCCTGAAGCAATAAACTTTTGTTAGTTTTCTATACTAAATGTACTTTGTAAAAGTTGTACATTGTATGTTTTGTAATAAATTGGAAATTAGAAATATTTCGTTTTTATTTACAAATTCTGCCACTTTAAGTTCCTTGGTTGATATTTAGAATGAAGATTACTCGTATTACAGTGAAAAATATTTTATCCGACACTTCGATTTTCCGTTTCCATTTAATGTGAATTTCGACATTCAACTTCATACCTATTTCTACTAATTCCCATGTTCTTCACACAGTACAATCCGACATCGTATCTATTCCGACACAAAAGGTTTCACTGTTTTAAATATTTCTTTATAACATTATTTGATATTCATGTTCTGCAGAACAACATATCCAAGATTATGTTTCTCTATCGAGATACCCCCTCCCATCTTTGGCATCCATGAAATATTCTGAAAGGATGAGCAGATATAATTAATTAATCTATAAAGCAATAATTGCTTTGGTGGATGCTCTTGTTCCATTCAAATTTTGTGGAAAAGATTGAAACTTACACTACTGTAATGATTTTCCCCTTAGATTCCAAAAAATCCCTTGACGTTCCCCTGTCTGTCCCTGACATTTTCCTGTCTCCCCCTGACTTTCTCCTATGATCCCCTGTCGTTGTCCCTGACTACCCTGTCTACTCCCTGACGTCCCCTGACTTTGCCCCTGTTACTACTGTCTAACCCCTGATGTCCCCTGACATTCCCTGACGTCCCTGTCAACTCCCTGACATTCATTTTGACCAGGAAAAAGGGGTTAAAATATGTTTTTGTAGCTATTTACTTGTGGGAAATACGTTACTCTTGGCAATTCTTAAGTTTTTTGAAAATATATATTTAGTTAATTGTGATTTGTTTAGATATCTTTAGTAATTTATTTCTTAATATGATTGTATTTCATTGTTTTAGTTTAGTACATGTAGCTTTTAGATAAATTTTAAGGAGAATAAATGCCAGTTTCTTTAAAAAGAATGAATTACAAATTTATTGCATCTTGTCCTGAATGGCAAGGAAATATATCTATATTTATTTATATGTCAATCTATATATCCACCTGTATTTATTTATTTATTTGTTTTATTTATTTGTTGACTAATTTATTAATTTAATCTATTCATATATTTCTTTTTAAATATATTTTCCTTATTGGATTATTAATTAATTGATTAATATTATATATTTATTTAGATTTTAATTAATTTCATTTTAATTAATTAATTAATTCTAGTTTATTCAATTTATTTGTGAGTTTGGTAAAACAAAATATGCTTCAAAGTATCTTTAAAGCATATTTACATTTCTTTTAATTCTTTTAATTTCATGATGGGTATCAAAATAATTGTCTTATTACACACAATCTGAATTCGGAATTTGTTTTATTGCTTTTTTACTTTGGTAAGAAAAAAAAAATGTTCCTCAAAAACTGTCACGGTTGTGAGAGTAGTTCCGAGCTGTTGTTGTTGACCAGTGGCTCTGGGTACACAGACCAGACACCTATTGTTCTTTTGACTGACCACTATACACTGTTTATTCTGTGGCAGCACTACCTTATCCACTCTGCAGGTGTTATTTCTTTCACTACCGTGACAAGTTTTTGAGGAAATTTTTATTTTATCAAAGTAAAAGGGAACAATAAAACAAATTCCAGATTCAGATGGTGCGTAAAGAGACGATGATTTTGATACCCATAATGAAATTAAAAGAATTAAAAGTAATTTGAATATGCTTAAAAAATAGTTTGAAGCAAATTTGTTTTACCCGGAGACTGTTTATAAATAACTACACAAATTGAATTAAATAAAATTAATCAATAAATTCAAATAAAGAAAAAAATTAAAATAAGATATAATAAATAAAAAAAATTAAATTAATTTATTTATTTATTAAAAATTGAATAAAACAAATACGTAAAAATAAATTTAATAGATAGAATTAATAAATAAATGAAAAAAATAATTAGATAAATAAACCGAAAAAGAAATAAATAAAAAAGATTGATAAATGAATTAAATTCAATTAAATTAATAAATTTACTAAAGATACTTCAAACAAATGATTAGTTACAAAATTAATATATTTATTTTTTTTTTTATTTATTTATTTGTATATTTTTCTATTTATTTTTTTTTTATCTATCTGTTTATCTATTTATTTATTTGATCTATTCATTTCTTTTCTTTTAAGTATTTCTTTTATTCAATTATTATTTAATTCCTTAGTTAATTAATGTTACATGTATTTCTTTCTTTCTTTATTTTGTTTATTCATTTTATTTTAATTAATTAATTTTTTCAATTGTTCCTATTTATTTGTGTAGTTCCCCATAAACAGTCTTATGGAAAAACAAACGATGCTCAAACTATTTTTAGGCATATTTACATTTCTTTTAATTCTTTTAATTTCATGATGGGTATCAAAATAATCGTCTTATTACACACAATCTGAATTCGGAATTTGTTTTAGTGCTTCTTTTACTTTGTTACAAAAAATAGAAATGTTCCTCAAAAACTGTACGGTTGTGAAAGTAATTCTGAGCTGTTGATAGTTGACCAGTGACTCTGGGTACACAGACCAGACACCTATTGTTCTTTTGACTGATCACTATACACTGTTTATTCTGTGGCAGCACTACCGTATCCGTTCTGCAGGTGTTATTTCTTTCACTACCGTGACAAGTTTTTGAGGAAATTTTTATTTTATCAAAGTAAAAGGGAACAATAAAACAAATTCCAGATTCAGATGGTGCGTAAAGAGACGATGATTTTGATACCCATAATGAAATTAAAAGAATTAAAAGTAATTTGAATATGCTTAAAAAATAGTTTGAAGCAAATTTGTTTTACCCGGAGACTGTTTATAAATAACTACACAAATTGAATTAAATAAAATTAATCAATAAATTCAAATAAAGGAAATAATTAAAATAAGATATAATAAATAAAAAAAAATTAAATTAATTAATTTATTTATTTCAAATTGAATAAAACAAATATGTAAAAATAAATTTGATAGACAAAATTAATAAATGAATGAAAAAATGAATAGATAAATAAACCGACAAAGAAATAAATAAAAAAGATACATCAATAAATTAAATTCAATTAAATGAATGATATACTAAAGATACTTCAAACAAATAATTAGTTACAAAATCAATATATTTATTTATTTGTTTGTATATTTTTCTATTTATCTATTTTTTATCTATCTGTTAATTTTTTTATTTAATCTATTCATTTCTTTTCTTTTGAATAATTGTTTTAATTAATTAATATTATTTCTTTCTTTCTTTATTTTGTTAATTCGTTCTATTTTAATTAATTAATTTTTTTCAATAATTATTGTTCCTATTTATTTGTGTAGTTCCCCATAAACAGTCTTATGGAAAAACAAACGATGCTTCAAACTATTTTAGGCATATTTACATTTCTTTTAATTTCATGATGGGTATCAAAATAATTGTCTTATTACACACAATCTGAATTCGGAATTTGTTTTAGTGCTTCTTTTACTTTTGTTAAAAAATAGAAATGTTCCTCAAAAACTGTACGGTTGTGAAAGTAATTCTGAGCTGTTGATAGTTGACCAGTGACTCTGGGTACACAGACCAGACACCTATTGTTCTTTTGACTGACCACTATACACTGTTTATTCTGTGGCAGCACGACCGTATCCACTCTGCAGGTGTTTTTTCTTTCACTACTGTGACAAGTTTTTGAGGATTTTTTTCTAATTTACCAAAGTAAAATGGAACGACGAAACAAATTCCAGATTCAGATTGTGCGTAATAAGAGGATGATTTTGATACCCATCATGAAATGAATTAAAAGTAATTTGAATATGCTTAAAAAAAAGTTTGAAGAAAATTTGTTTTACCCGGAGACTGTACATGAAGAACCACACAAAATGAATTAGATTTAATTAATCAATAAATTAAAATAATTAAATTGAATGAAATAAAATAAATATATTTTTTTAAATAAATCCATTTGTTTATTGATAATCAAATAAAACAAATAAGTAAAGATAAATTAAATAGATAGATTGAATTAAAAAAAAAATAGATTTATAAATGGAAAAAAAGAATAGATAAATAAGCAGACAAATTAATAAATAAACAGATACATGAATTAATAAGTTCAATAAACAAACAAACAAATAAATAAATAAATAGATAGATAAATAAATAAAAATATATTTACATGCCATTCGTGCTACACAAGATGCAATAAATTAGGAATTTATTTTTTTAAAGTAACGGCATTTATTCTTATTAAGATTTATCTGAAAAGCTTCCAAACGATCAATAAAATAATAATTTGAAAGAATTTGCTAAAGATATTTCAAACAGAAAAACTAATGATTAAATCTACATTTTCAAAAAAACTTGAAAATTGCTAGTAGTAAGGTATCGTATTTCTCACAAGTAAAAAGCTACCAAAACATATTTTAACCCTTTTTCCTGGTCAAAATGAATGTCAGGGGACGACTGGGGGTTGGCAGGGTGGTCAGGGACTTAGTCAGGGGACATCAGGGAGTTGACAGGGACGTCAGGGAATGTCAGGGGACATCAGGGGTTAGACAGTAGTAACAGGGGCAAAGTCAGGGGACGTCAGGGAGTAGACAGGGTAGTCAGGGACAACGACAGGGGATCATAGGAGAAAGTCAGGGGGAGACAGAAAAATGTCAGGGACAGACAGGGGAACGTCAGGGGATTTTTTGGAATCTAAGGGGAAAATCATTACAGTAGTGTTAATATACGACGGAAATAGTACTTCTCATTCAAATTGATACAAAACAAATTCTACTGTTTATATATTGATATCATTCTCTAGCCAGATTTGTCTTTCCCGCTATCCTTCCACATACGC